TTATGTTGACTCGATTGACTCAACTCAATCCTACTCGTTCATAATTAAGTTAGATTAAACTAAAAAAAAAAAAAAAAAAAACTATCTTTGATATTTGTTAGACAAATAACGAATTTCCTTCTAACTACAAAGATGCTCGCAAAACCTTTCGCAAGCCCAATACTGCTGACAATGTCAAGCCCAACAATGGATGAAACCCACAAAAAAAAAAAGAGTTAAAATGTCAGCATCTCCATGACCCCCTGATGCAAGTTGCAACGTGCCCTCTTCTCCTCCTGAATAATTGCCACCCTTCTAGTCTCATAAGTTTCCCACAAACCAGTTTTTTTTTTTTGTTTTTTTTTATTTTTTATGTTTCAAAGTAGAAAAGGTAAACAATTTTTATATGATGATATATATGTGACTGACTATGTGTGCTCACATGCATTAGTTACACCTGCCTTCCTATATGCATTTTAAAGCAACAATTACATAACCTTTATAGATTATGTACAACTGACTAGGCATCAAAAGTCGATATTTTATAAAGCTGTGAACCACAAGAAAAATATTAACTACTGCATGCTATGAATATTTTATTATATTGCAACAAGTTGCATATTTAAAGGCTTGATTTGGATGATACGAGACCAAAAAAAATAGAGGTTAGAGATAAGGCTAAGTTGCATTTCTTTGCAATACATTTTATCTTTTGAAGGAGTTGCCTTTGTAAGGATATTTGGATAAGCATCAAGTTGAAAGCAAGGTTTTATTCTAAGCAAAATAGCATATAATTACGAAGGGGGGAAATCTCATTGATTTGATGAAGATGTTGCACACTTCAAATGCCCTAGTTGCATTTCTTTGAAATGAGATTTGTACAGAAATATTTTGCATTTTGAATTGAGTGTTAATTATAGAGTTGAAGAGTGAGGAAAAGATATACAGAAGAGAATTGGATGAGGGCGATGTGGCGGTGGCAGACAACATAATTTGATGAAGTGGTAGGGCAGAGCATTGAGCAACAGTTAAAATTGTCCACATGGTTTCGGACCACCACAACCACAACATGTGTATTCATGTTTCCACAATTCAAATGTCACTCTCACCAATGATCTGTTCTACTGTTTGCTCTGCACCCTCTGCTACCTTCATTAGGAACTCCAAAGAATGCTGCAAAGAGCAACCTTTACTTTCAATTAACACATAATTAATGTTTACGGTAAATCCAACTTTATATTAGCATTATTATTTACATGTTGCCCAGAACACCCGGTTCTTCTATATGTTTTCTTTAAACTAACACCCTTGCCATGCACACTTACATTGCATGTTGCTATGTTGTCGTTTTGTTACATGCTGCCATGTTGTCGTTTTCTTACGTTTCAGAATAATTCCATACTATTTCTACTTTTGGTTCTTTGTTGTTTTCTTCTGGTTTTGGATTATTATCTGTTGTACCATAAAAGAAATATTATTTATTAATCACCATTTTACATTAATAAATATTAAATGAATTTGGTTTGAGTTAGGTGTGTGAATTATTATAAATAAATAAAAAATTACATGGATAAATATATTGAACACATGATATTAAAATTAAGGTTAAATTAATCAGCTAGTTTATGACATATTTGAGAATTTTTATTTTCATTTCCAAATCAAAATTTCTAAAATTGTTGTTTTTTAATTAGACCCAATATATATACATGTGAATTTAGTTTACCCTATTATAGTGATGTTTTGGGATGTCGAAACAAACAAGCAATCGATCTGGCCCAATTCTAAGTTGGGTAGTCTTGAACCAGTGTAGAGCAATAGTTTACAAATAAAAAAAAGTATTGCAAGGTGATGAGAGATTCCCATGTGAAAAGCATCAAAAGAAAATTAATTTCCATAACATATTCATTGGCCCCTAACCTTCCCTATCACATTGATGATTGTTACCCGTGCAAGTCATGGCCACTTTTCATTTCTTAGGTATGTTACTTTTGATTTCTAATGCCGTGGGCATGTGCCCCATGATGATGAAATTTCCATATTATATAAGAAGAAGGAATAATGGAAGACAAATAGAGCATTTCAGAGAAATTAAAAAAAAAAAAAAAAAACTCAAAACCAACAAAGCTTAATACTATCGATAAATAACTGAGTTTTTATTTATATTGATAGAATTTAATTCTTTAATCGTGCAAATGAAAAAACTTTAAAAGTTTATTAAGAGAGATAAAATGATGGTCTCGACGCTTTAAAAGAAATTAGTAGATAAGTATTGATTAGAAGGAATATTTGGTGAAAAAGAAAGAATTGAAAACTAGCATGAAATATCTCTTAGCATGTTCACTAATAATAGTGTGAGGAAAGTTCGGGAGAGAATCAAATGGCTGTAGGTGTGTCTTTATTCTAAAATGGTTAACCAATTTGCGTACAAGGTAATTACCTTCTCCATCGGTATATGTAGGACTTCACCTCCTGTTGTTGACGTTGTAACCAATTGTTAATCCCAAATACCACAAATATAAGAAACAACAAATGTAGATGTTACGCTGAAGCTGAAAACTAGTGTCTCAAGATTACTCAAATCTTATTTTTCTTTTTAAATAATGGCAAGATATTTACTTGGAAAATTCTAGGTTAGCCTATTTTTATTTTTAGGAGTAAACTAGTATCTTTTATTGTGACTTTATAAACTTATAAATTTATCGGTCTTGATCATTATAAAGGATAATACTACCACATCACATCAAATTATGTTGATTGATTTTCTTTGGATAAACTGATTTATCTTTAGTAAAATCTCTCTTCTCAATCATATTTTTTTATTTATTAAAATAACTTTATTCACTCATGTATTGCTTTCAGTAGTGTGATGATGGAATAATTTATAATAAAATAAAAATAAAAATTAATATTATATTAAAATTAAGTAAAAATATCCGTCATTTTAAGGCATTTTCTAAATGTTAACGCTACAGTCAATTTAGTACCAACGGAGTATTTCCTAGCATTGGTTTCGGTACCTCTTTTTGTGTTACATTTAGCTTCAGTAGCCATTCATATTAAAGATATCTAAACCATTAGATCTTGAAAGTTATGTTGTCACACGATCATCGAGGAATTCAAAATTGATGATTACAAAAGTAATCATCTTGGAATTTTCTTTAGCTTTTTTATGAGTTTATCAGTTAGAATAGGATAAAAACACTTTTTTAGATCCATGAGCTTCTTTTCATAAAAGTGCAATGAGGTCAAATACTTTGATGAATTTATCAGTTGATTTGAGCATCAATTAGTTTGATCTTTTCTCGAAATCAATAGATGGACAATTCTACAAGTAGCAACAAAATCATCATCATAAGAACTCAATAGAAACTGTTAGAATCACTTGGAGTAGCAAAACACCCAGAAAAAAAAAATGTTAGAATTCTTTCTTAACTATAGTTTATTTTATACTAGAAGTGTTAAGATTTTTAAGTCAGTTCTCCGGATATAATAAGAACTTCTTGATACGTGCATTGAGAATGTAGAACTAACAAAGTTTTAAACCCAAAAGATAGAGGAGTAGAGATAGTTAAAGAGAAGAGGTAGTTGTGTTACTGGGGTTACCTTTTATCTCATGAACCACATAAACCATAGTATTTATAAGAAAAGATAAAATGACCACTATAAGACAGCATTAAACACAAAACTAAATACATTTAATTTAAAACGTTGAGAATTTAAATAGTAATTAAAACATTAATAGCCTCATAATTAAATTGATTTAAAATGAATTCAAAGTGACTTAAACGTTTAATTAGGGTCCCTATGTGTCTCATAGACCACAATATTTATAGGAAAGGATAAAATGGTTGTTGAGACAGCCATCAAACACCAAAATAAATACATTTAAATCAAAACGTTGACAATTTAAATAATTAAAACACCAGCGGCCACATAATTATATTTCTTTAAAACGAATGCGAAGTGACTGAAAATGATTAATTATTGAATCAAAATAATTTAATAGATAAATAAAATTTTAAAATATCTCAAAATATATAATAAACTATAACTAATGCACTGTATTATTTGAAATTAAATGTTTAAATAATTATAAAGGAAGAAAAAAAAAATAGCTCCTTTAATTAGTTTCTGCCTATGACGTGTAAAAACGTCCTATTAGATCATACAATTTTAACTAATGTCAAATTATATATATATATATATATATATTATAATTTAAAATGATTTGATATCTTATTTTTATATAATAAAATGATATGATATTTATATTTCAAAATATATTAAAATATAAATATTTTAATTATTTTTAAATTATTAATTAATTTAAACAAAATTTAATAAATATATACAAATGATATAAAATTATAATTCAATTGTTAGATAGATAAAATTCACATTTAATATACTTAAGTGCTATAATTGTCATTAATGATGTTTAAATTCCCCTCTCCCACCCTCTCTATGTATGTAATAAATTTTATTATTTCATCCAATAATTCATATATATTAAATTTTAATGATCTAATTTTTAAATTAAAATTTTTTAATATATGAATCAAGTCTAAAAATTTATAAATTTAATTTATATATTAAAATTTTTTATTTAATAATTAAATTATTGAAATTTAATATCAATTTTAAAATATATTTTTTAAAATGTTACACTTTTTTATGTGATAATATATAACAACATGGTACTATTATTTAACAGTACCAAAACATTTTACACTTTGATAATTATCTTTTCTGCTACTATATTATATATTATTATTTAATTGAATCACAACATTACTCGTTTTGATGATATTGGTGGTTAATATTTATTAAATTAAATAAACAAAAATTAGTTGGAGTGGAGTGGACCCCAGTTCTCAAACGTAGGCAATCGTGAAAGCGAAACAAGTTCCCCATGGTGGGACCCACACACTGACCCAACTCAAACCAGACACACACACTTGCACTCTCTCTCACATGACATGCCCTCTCTGTGTGTTATGTAACAAAGAATTGGAATCTATGGTTTTCTCTCTCTTTGTTTCACAGCCAAGAAAAGACATACACATACATACATACATGTATTAAATAATAAATACCAATACTTAAAAGCAAGAAAGAGATGATTTGATGGTGATGTTGATTTTGATGCTTGTGTGATGAATGATGAACAACAACGTGGAACATTGATCCCATACCTTGCACAGTGCTGCCACCATTGATTTCCACTTCTTAGATTTCGTTTGGTTCCAACTTCCAACCTATCTCCTGCATTCAATTCCTCACCCAATCACCTATCGGATCCTCCTCGGGATCTCCGAAACTGCTTCTCTCTCACTTTGCCGCCATAACGCACCCACGTGGACTTCTCGCTCCAAGTTTTCTTCTTTTTCACTTTTGGTTTTCTGGGTTGGTAAGTTCTGAGATTCACTTGGATGTTGCTTACTTCCATTGCCTTATTCTTCTTCTGGGTATTATCTTTACTACCTGCTTTTCCACTAAAAAATGAATCTTCGCTTAAAAGGGAACTTTTTGATCATTGTGTTTGGTTCCTTTGTTTCATTGAAAATGTCGGTTTTGTTGGTCCTGATTTTCCGGGAAGACGGTGTTTGACTCTTCTTTTTTTTTTGGTTGTTGCGTATTTTTATCTGCATCCAAACAGGAATAAATTTTGTGATGTCATTTATAAACTTGGGTTCTGTTTCCATTTGTTAACTCATGTTGGCTACCACCACCGATTTAGACATTAATTGTTTTCCGATGTCATAGTCCAAGTGTTGCATTAGTATTAGCATATGCTTACTTCAAAGGCTCTGTGTTCAGTTTTGGGTTCAAAGCAGAGGTTATGTCAAGATATCGGTATGCATTTATGTGGAATTAATTAACATTAAATTCAGAAGCCAAATGTTCCGTGCAAATGAGTCCACTGTTGTTCTTGTTTCTGGGAGTAGGGAATGGTGGATATCCATCGTTGTTGTTCACTGAATTAGGACGTGGATATTTTGGGCTAGTCAATTCGCTTTTCTTTTTCTTCAATAAATTTAGTCACTTCCCTTTCATGTAGCTTTCTGTCATAATTCTTTCTGCTGTGTCAAAATCAAATTTCTATATTTCTAGGATCAATTAACTGTTTGCAATTGATACCCCCCCAAAAGAAAAAAGCAAAGAAAGAAAGCAATTTTTCACCCCTAATATCATTTACTTGTTGAATATCATGGCTTCAATTTATATTTCCATGTATTTCACACGCACAATGCCTTTATTGTGAAGGTAACTTTTCAATATCTATGTACGTCTCTGATAGTATAAATTGTATGTAATATGGGAGACATAGTTCTTCTGTTTATGCATATATATCATTTTTGTGTTGTGTAATGAAATTTGATAGCATAGTTGCCTTGTTTTGTTGAATTGCTTTAGATTCCGTCGAAGTCTCTTCTGCAAAATCCTTATTCTGGGAATTCTAATACTTGCACCATATTTTTGGATTCCTTTTTTCTTTAACTTTATACAAACTATTTAACTGATCTAAATGCAAACATTTTGCAGATCAAGTGGAGTAACTCCTCTAAACACTGCAGCGTGAGTTTATCTGAGAAGCTTCAAGAGTGAAATCTTAATAACATTCAATATACAGCCAAGTAATGAGTTGTTGAAACCCTCTGATGACATGGGGTTTGGTTTAAGCCTTGGAAAGAAAAGCTCAAAACAGCAAAGCAGGTCAAAGACAGTTAAGGAGAGTTCTGATTTGCCCCAATCCAATCCATGTCTAAGTGATTCACTAAAGTTGAAATCAAAGTCTAGTGTTGGTGAAGCACACAGTGATCCTTGTAACAAAGCAAAGAAGGATGTGATAGTGGGAAAGGTTCAGCACAGGGATAGAGCAAAGGGAAGTTCAACTCAACCTGATGAACTTGTCAAGTACATGTCTAATTTGCCAGGTTTTCTCAAGCGTTCTGAGGGAGGAGAAAACCTTCAAGGGAAGGCTTTAAATGTTGGGGTTCTTGATTGGTCACAACTTGAAAAATGGAAGAAAAAGCAAACTCATCCAAAGGTAGAAGCTAGCGACTCCACATTATTCAATAGCAGTGAAGAAATATCATCAAGGGCAGCCACCACATCATCATCATCTGCCACTTCTGGTGGCCATAATAAAAAGCTTGATGGTAGAAAAGGTTCTAGTTCTTCAAGAACCAAGGGGTCTTATAAAGAAGGTCTTCCTTCAAGTTCCAAAATGTCTTCTCAGAATGTTAAACGATACCAACATTCTAAAACTGAAATAAGGACCCTTGGAGAAGAGCTCGGAATGCCACCTTGGGAATTCAGCAAAACTCAGACAGATACTTCACTCCAAAGGGTGAAAATTAATGACTATGACGAAATAACTCCAACAGTTGGAAGTTTTGCATTGAAGTCCAAGCATCATGAGGTCTCACTAGTTCCTAATGAAAATTCTGGTAGTGATGCTAAAGATAAAAAGAGAATGGAGGGTTTGCAACAGCATAGCCTCAACAAAAAAGAGAGGAATCTAAAGTCCATTTCTGATAAGGGACTTCCACCATTAGAATCAAAAAATAAAGGTGTCTCGTCATTTGACTCTCAGAAAATGAGTTCCAGTAGCAGTGAAGCCAAGAAAAAGATCGATCACTGGCAGGAGTCAGATATTGATGTTGGTCATGAGCAAAGCCATAGGATGCCTAGTAATATTGTCCTGCTTCGTCCCCGAAGTGCTCTGCAATCAAAATCTGAAGACTATTTTCAGTATTCTCAATCAAGAACTTCAACTGATGAAGACTTTTCAGAATCAAGCCGGAGTAGCTTGTCGTATATGTCCCTTCCTGAGGAGGTTTACGCTGAAGATGTACATTCTGAAATTCCACATTCAAGTGTATTGTCTTCTGTGACTGAGCTTGCTTCGTCTTCAGAAACATTGCAACAAAGTATCAATACTGATCTAGATACTGATTGTACTTCTGTTCTATCTAACAAACCAACATACTCAAATAAGATATCTACTCTCCAATCTGAAGATACTTTCATCGAAATGGATGTGTTTGATATCAAGCTAAAAAATCAGTGTGCTTTCACTGATGTGCCGGAATCACAGGACCATGAGACTGTTGAGCTGACACCTCAGAATCCCTCATCTAATCGTCGGCTTAGCTTCAGCTTAAGTCGTATTGGAAGAAGTTTCAGTTTCAAGGAAGGGTCTATTCCAAAACTTAGCTCCATGTATGTTAGTGCTGTGTCTGGTACAGTGACACCTGAATCTTCTGCTTGTTTCGATAATCATAACAAAGATAAGGTAAAAGGTCATAACAGAACCAGGTCTAGCCCCTTGCTGAAGTTATTTGATCCCATATTGAAGCACAGGGCATCAAACATACACCATTTTGATGAACAAAGTGTGACATCAAAAGGAAGCATGGGTTCAATCAGCTCAAGGACAATCAATCTGCCTGATGAAAAGAGAAAGGAATCATCAATACATGCCCTTCTGCAGCTAACAATAAGAAATGGAGTACCTTTGTTTAAATTTGTGCTCAACAGTGAAAGAAAAGTTCTTGCTGCTACCTTGAAGAGTTTAGCATTGACAGAGAAGGATGATGTAGACTGCTATTTTACATTCTACCAAGTTAATGAAATAAAGAAAAAGAGTGGCAGATGGATGAATCACTGGAGTAAAGAAAAAAACTGTGGATATGTCTACAATATTGTTGGTCAGATGAAGGTTTCTAGCTCTAAAACCACTGAATCGAGCAATGAAAACTCCAAGAGAGAGAGTGTGGTGAAAGAATATGTCCTAATGGGAGTTGAAGTCGACCAGCTAGATCAAGAACCACCAAAGTTCTTCGTGAGCAAGGAGCTTGCAGCCGTTGTTGTTGAGATCCCTTGTGAAAACGTAAATCATGAAGGACTATTATATAGTCATAATTTGCTGGAGAAGAGATGCTTAAAGTGCTTGGCAGATGAAACATGCTTTTGCATCTCACAAGAAAATGATATCTACAGCAGCATTACAGTTATACTTCCTGATGGTGTGCATAGTTCACCATACACAGGAGAACCTTCACCATTGATTCATAGATGGAAATTGGGGGGAGCATGTGATTGTGGAGGTTGGGATGTTGGTTGCAAACTGCTTGTTCTCTCTAATCAAAACCTTGGTTCAAATATTCCAATGAGTTCAAAATCTTACCTTGACAAATTTCATCTTTTTGTTCAGGTATGTTTATACTTTTCTCCTTGTGGCATGAGTATATAGAACTATTAATATAATGGATAGATAGCCCAATTTACATCATCTATGCCATAACTTTCAGGAAGGAGCTGAGCAAAACACACCCCTATTCACTTTTGTTCCATTGAAGGATGGATTATACTCGGTTGAATTCAGTTCAACAATCAACCATTTACAGGCATTCTTCATTTCTGTCTCAGTTTTAAGCAGCCAGAAATTACCAAAATCCTTGGAAATGAATAACATGCAAGAAGAAATCAATAAGGAATTCAGTTCCAAGAACTACAACGAACTTCAGGGGAAAGCACCTTTAAATTATAATCCAAATCCTCCATACTCCCCTGCCGACAGAGTTTAATTACAGAAAGTGAAGGCTTTTTCACAATTATAGATAGCTATTATATATAACCATGAAGATAAGGAGTCACAAGTTATTGCACTGCTAAATATTTCTCCATTTGCCTTCCCACCAGAGTAACTGTTGTGGCAAAAAATGGTATTCTCATTGTATACTTGTATTCACTGTACAAAAGAACCACAGCACCAATACCATCTTTTTACAAATACAACATGAATGAATAAGACTAGTATCCGTTGTACATCTTGAACACTACGAAGGTGAACAGATGAAACTATATTTTGATCAACCATAGTACAAGGCCGTGCATTAGGATGTACTTTTTACTGTTCTATACACTGGAGTGGATATTATTAATGATGTGGTGTAAATCAATTGAGCATTAATTATTCCATGATTATCAGTTTTGACAGCATTGCAATATCTCCTAATGGATATGTTTTACTTTCCAGCTAGTCCTTGAGCATTATAATATATTTTTGTTGTACATATGGTTTCATGTTTCATTGTGGTCATTCATATACGATTATGAAAACCAAACATTGTTACTTGGTATTAATTGGAATAGGGAACGCTTAGTAGATCTGAAAGAAAAGGAATAATATATTGTCATATTTGTGAAGATTGTTCAGATAATGCCTTCTTTCTGCTTCTTTTGCATAGTTCTCTTCAGTAATGGAAAATTTCCCCTCCTCTTCCAAACCCTCTTCATTCAATTCAATGTTCTCAGTACTATAGATGCAACCCTAAATTTTGCCAACTAATCCTGGAAGTTTGCACTGTGGATAGGGAAAAAAAGGGAGAAAAGCAATATCCATAATTCAAGATGAGAAAATATAAATTATCCAACAATTCCAACTTTTATTCAGAGAATACTATGAAGAAGTAACTCCATATTAAAACAAAATAATATCATATTTTATGCTTTGGAAGATTAAGTACCTCTACTCTCTAGTATATAAAAAAATTATTTTATATATATTAATAAAATTAATTATTTGTATTAAATTTTATTATTTTTATAATTTTTTTCTAAATTATCTTTGTTATAAATATAAATAAAAAAGTAGTGTAACTGAAAAGTCATGCATTAAAGAAAAATATTTAAGAAAAATGATCATTAAATGAAATAAAAGTAGTTAGATTTATTAATATTTAAAAACAAAAAATATGTTTTTTTTCTTCTTATAATAGAGAATGGAGTGGTATAATTTATCATGTTTTAATCATACAAGAGCCACTATTTTGAAGTAATGCTTCCTAAGCGCGAAATTTTTTTGCAATTTTTATTCAACAGACAAAAAGGAAAGGTGAAGCACACAGAAAATTTTCCAATTTTTAGATTTTAATACAGGGACAAAATTCAAATGTAAATGAAAATATTTTAATGAATTGTGATTATGAAATGGCACATTAAAATCAACATGGGCTTGTGTCGTGTTGCTCGCTGAAGATGAGACAAATGATGAATCCGCAGATTTTTTACCCAAAGTTGATGTATACACCACCTTTTTATTATAAATACACCTCTTTTTTATTTTTTAAAATATTTTTAATTTTTTATCCTGTATTTTTTTGTTAATTTTACTTTTTTATTATTTAATTTATATTTTTCTCCTTTTTATTTTAGTTTATAATATTTCAAGAATTTATTTTTATACATATATATATATATATATATATATATATATATATATCATGAATCAAATAAAGAAAGAGAAAGATATATGTAAAAAAATAAAAAATAAAAAATAAAAAATTAAATATATTTTAAGATTATTTAAAAAAATAAAAAATAATAATAATAAAAAGGTGTATTTGGAGGTGTATATATCATAAGCCTTTACCCAATGTAATTCAGGTTTAGCCCAGCCCATTTTGTTTATTGGTTGGCCCTGTATAGGCCCGCAGATGAACTTTTACCTCGGAACCAACTTTTCAGTATTCTGTTCTTTGGGCCAAAAACCAGAAAACCTCTGCTATATATGTTATTTTTTGTTTTTTTTACTAAGAATATGATTATGCTGTTATTTTTTCTTACATTTAAATTTTTTTGGTTTTTTCATTGCAACAGTTTGCGATACACATAGATAAGTGAGCATGCTTCTCAACTGCATACCCAATGTCTTTCATGATCATATGAACAATCAAGTGAATGAGCATGTTTTTCTATTCTGATCATCGTGACAATTTGAGTAACCAGGTACGTAATTAAACAATTCTAGAAAAATGTTACCAACACACCTTTTGACATTTCTTTTGCACTTTTTATTAAGTAAAGTTCACGAGTGTCTCACTAAATCTTTGAGTCTCATTTTTTATTTAATAGATTTATACGTATTTTGAAGTTGCTTTAGAGCTATTTAAAGTATTATATTGATCTTTTGCTTAGACAGTTATGCTTGAATACACTTTCAACTCTAATTTTTCTTGTTTCTACTATGTATCCGTTGCATGTAAATATTGTTTATTTCAATATGTTTAGTTATTTTAAAATCTTTTCGATTCATGCCTATTTTTAATAATATTTTTAAGTTAGATTAGTTATTGAATTAATTAAGACCTTGATTCAAAACTTAATTATTTAGCCGTGATTGAACCGTGATTAAATTAATATTAATAAAATAATATTATTATTTCAATAATATATAAAATAATATCATAATTTTATAATACTAAAATTAAAATAAAACTCATTTTATATATTTTTACTTTTTTAGATATATATAAAAGTCTAAATATAATATTTAATAAGTTTGGATTTTAATATAAAATATAATAATATATATTAATTTTACATTTAGAATAAAAAATACTCAAATTAATATAATATAAGATATAAAATATCATGATTTGAAAAATTATAAATTAATACAGATGACATATTATATTTTATGAGAAAATTATTAAAAATAATAAATAACGTTCAAATTTATAATTTTTGTTAAATTTATTTATTTATTTACCATAAAATATTTTGAATAATTTTAGAAAATAATTTTCTTTTTTGAAAAGGATACTTCAACCTGATTTTTTTGGATTAATTGTAAGTTGATTCATCCGATTCTTAACCTATTCTTTCACAATCCAATTTTATGATTTTCTCATGCCAATTAACTAATTGATTCCCAGTTGGATCCAATTTTAATAACACGGATTTTTTAATTACTCATCTCATGATCATGGGATTATGAAAAATAAGCCCCCAATAATCAATTTCATTACAAGTTTTAGAATAGTTAAAACTTTAGGAGTAGGAGTAAAACAAAATAAAAATTTGGGAGTAATAAATTACCAAAGCATGCGTACAGAGAGAAAATAAAAAAAAAAAAAAAAAAAAAA